CTGAGCCTCAACTATATTTCCAAATGCCAAATATACAAATATTTCCTAAGTTACAGAAGATAATAGCTATCTTTCTAAAAGACTGTATTGAAAATTAGAAACCAGAGACTGAGATTTTGAAGCGAAGACCAGTCCTCAAACTCTCCCTGGGGGTATGTACTGGGCGTGAAAGTGATATAATTAAGGCATCTAATTAAATTGCCACTTATTGGTGAAAGCTCTGCCTTCTGAGTAGCTCACACCATATGTCATAGAATCTCATATTAAGAAAGAGCATGCTGGAATCATTAAGCTTCAGACATGAGTCTTACTGGTAGAACAAGGTCTAAGGCCAGGACAAAAAGATCATTTTCCCCTGAAATCTGCCTATCTCATTAGCCTTTTCATGGGTGATATAACTTATTCCCTCCAAATATTCAGGGGTCCCACGGCTGTCACTACTAAGCATGCCATTTCCATTATTGTTATAAATTATGTGCCAAGCCCCTGGAGGCTCTTGTCCCAAGTTACAGATACTTATCAAAGATGAACTATTATATGACAGCACAAGGAAAAATGAACGTTAGGAAGTAAAACAGATTTTTTATAAATCATTAATCTATCCAGCTTGTGTAATATAGGTCATTCACATAAAGTACAGTACATAGTTCATATGGATTATTTCTGAACTTATCTCTCATACACACACACACACACACACACACACACACATTTTCAAATATACTAGACTATCAGTTTGATATTCTAATTTTTATTAATGATTTTAGTTTGATTTTTCTTAACTTTTCTAATTTTTCCAATAGAATTTCTGAGTTATATTTACTTTAATTATGTTAGTTTTTTATTTTCTCTTATTAGGAACTGAAATGCAAACAGAGCTAAAGTTTGGCCTTTTGGTTATATAACAAGGACATTGTGAAATTATGTTGTCATCATTTGTAGATCTCTCGCTATAGAATGTCTCTGAGGTACTTGTTCGAAATTTGGTTAAGTTACCACAAAATGAGATTGGTGCCACTATGAAGGTTCTGGAAATCACATGTTTTGGTCAAATAACTAAATCAGCTCTGTAATTTTACACAATGGCTGTGTCAAAATATTTATTTAAACAACTAATCTTGTTCCTTTACTCTCATCAATTACCAAATTGAAAATGTTTTGTATAAATATAGTTATAAACTAAACAAATACATAGATAAAGTTAATTTCCTTTCTAACTCAACATTAACGATTATGGAAGCTAGTTTTTTTCTCCCCCATAATTTTAAGAAGTGAAGCACTGTTCCTTGACAAACAATCACTGAAAGAATTGTTGCTAGCAGACCTGCCTTAGAAGCAGGTCTAAAGGAAGTACTTCTAGCTAAAAGGAAACAATAACAAATGGTAATTCAAATCAATAAGAAGAAATGAAGAGGACTAAAGGTGTAGGTTAACATAAAAGATTTTACTGTTTTCTCTTAATTTTAAAAAATATTTATATAAAATTGCATAAAACAATAATGACGATATATCTTTGCATTTATAACATATGTAGATTACTATATGTAATAATAGCAGCACAAAAAGGGGGAAGGACATAGAGCTATATTGGTATAAAATTTCTACATTTTACCTGAATAAAGTTGTTTTAAGCTGAAGTAGACTGTGATAAACTAAGATGCATATATAATTCCTAAAGGAACTACTAAGAAAAACTAAAATTATATATAGTTAAAAAAAAGACAAAATAATAAAATGATACATTAACATATAGCTATTTAACAAAAAAGGCAATAAAAAGAAACAAAAAAGCTAAGGGACACTTGTCAAACAAAATAGCAAAATGAATGATGTAAATCTAACCATATCAATAATTTTATTAAAATGTGAATTAACTAAATTCATTCGAAAGGCAGAGATTATCATACTTGATCAGAAAAAGATTCACAAATTTATATGCTTTCTATAAGAGACATACACTTTAGTTTCAAGTAAGGTGAAAATAAAATAATGGGGAAAAGATATACCATGCAAATACTAACAGTAAGAGATGGCTGTATTAATAGCAGATAAAATAGACTTAAAGCTTAGAAAAATGACAAGAGACAGTCAGGGACATATTATATGGATAAAAGGATCAATTCATCAGAAAGAAATAACAATTTTAAGTGCATGCATATCTAAAGCAGGACCCCAAAATACATTAAGCAAAAAATTACAGAACTGAAAGGAGCAATAGACTATTCAACAACAATAGACTTTAATATCCCACTCTCAATAGTTAATAGAATAGCTAAACAGAACATCAGGATAGGTTATTGAACACTATCAATTACTTTCAACTAACAGTTATCTATAGAAAATTCTACCCAATGACAGTAGAATAAACATTCTTCTTAAGTGCAAATAAAACATTCTCTAGGATAGATTATATGCTAGCTCATAAAATTATTAAGTTTAAAAGGATTTAAATAATAAATAGTATGTTTCCTGCCACAATTAATTAAATAACAATGGAAAACAACAACAGAAAGAAAACTGGGAAATCCTCAAACATTTTTAAATAACCCACAGGTTAAGAAGAAATTGTAATGAGAATTAAAAAAATATTTTGTGGTGAATGAAAATAAAAGCACAATATATCAAAACTTATGGGATACAGTTAAGCTTAGAGAAAAATTTAGAGTTTTAAACACCTATATTAAAAAATAAGAAAGCTCTCAAATTAATAACAAGCTTCTACCATAAGAAAACTAGAAAGAGGCAAGCAAACTAAACAAAAAAGCAAGCAGAGGAAGCAAATACTAAAGATTAGAGCAGAAATCAATGAAATCACTAACAACCTAACAGAAATTAAAAGGATTGCAAAAGAATATCATGATCGAATTTGTGACAACAGAGGAAATGACTTAGATGAAATGGAAAAATTCTTAGAAAGACTCAAATAACCAAAATGAACTCGAGAAGAAACAGAAAATTGTAAAGGTCCCATAACAAATAAAGAAATTGAGTTAGTAATTGAAATTCTGCAAAGAAAAGTCAGGTCCAGCTGGCTTTGCTAATCATTTTTATTGTTTAAAGAAGATATAATGGCAATTTTTTACAAACTCAGGAATTTGAAGAGAACACTTCTCTTTCATCTTGAGGTCAGCATTAACCTGATATGAAAATAAAAAAAAAAAAAGAAAGAAAGAAAAAAATTACAGACACATAACCATCATGAATATAGACACAAAAATTCCTAAGGAAACATTAGCAAATTCAGCAGTGTATAAAAAGAATTATACACCATGGTCAAATTGGGTTTATTCCAAGAATGCAAAATCACTCTAACATTGAAAATCAGTTAATGTAATTCATTAGTTGTTAATAGAATAAAGAACAAAAACTGCATAATTACCTAAATAGACTCAGAAAAAGTATTTAATGAAAATCAACATCTACTTATGGTAAAAGCTCTCAACAAACTAGGAATAAAAGGGAAAAACATCTGCAAAAAACATACGGCTAACATCAAACTTAATGTTGTTAAAAGATTGAATGCTTTTTGTCTAAGGACAGCAACAAAATAAGAATGGCTCTTTTATTATTTCTCCTAAAATATTGTAATTGTGGTCCTAGCAAGTGCAATAAGGCAAGAAAAAAAATAAAGGCATCTAGATTAGGAAAGGAAAAAAACCATATTTTTTCAAAGATTGTTTGACCTGAATGCAGAAAATTCAAGAAATACACACACACACACACACACACACACACACACACACACACACATCACATCTATAAATAATACATGAATTCAACAAAGTCATAGGATACAAGATCAAAGCACAAATATCAATTGCATTTCTATGTTAGCAAGTAATAATTTGAAAATGAACTTAATAAAACAATTCAATTTGTAATAACATAAAAAATCCTGAAGAATAAATCAAACAAAAGAAATATAATTCATACACTGAAAACTACAAATCATTGATGAGAAAAACTATCTAAGTTGAAAGGCACACTGTTCTTGGATTGAAGGACTCAAGATTGTGAGACTAGTGATTCACTGAAATTGACCTATAGTTTTAACATAATCCCTGTGAAAATATCCTATAAAACACAATTCCCTATTACTACAATTCCTTATTAAAATCTAAGCAGACTTTGTGTATAACTTGACAAGCATATTCCTGAAATATATAGATGAAAATGCAAAGAACCAAAAATAGTCAAAATGATTTTGATAAAGAACAGAGTCGAAGGTCTTATACTACCATATTTTAAACTTATTATATATACCTATAGTAATTGAGATACTGTGTTACTGGTGTATGAAGAGGCGCCATAGATCAATGGAAAATAATTAAGAGTCCAAAAGTAAACCTTTACTTTTAGTTCAATGTATTTTTGACAAGGTGCCAAGGCAATTTAATGAACAAATGGTGCCGTGACAATTGGATGCTCATAGGCAAAACTATAAAATTAAACTTTTATTTGACACTATAAACGAAAGTTTACTCAAAAGTGATCATATACCTTAGTGTAAGAGTCAAAACTATAAAACTTAAAGAAAAAATTTTTTGTGACTTTGGGTTAGGCAACTAGTTCTTACCCATGACACCAACAGGCATGACTGTAAAGAAAAAAATAACTAAGCTTCATTACAATTAAAAATGTTTATGTTTCAAAATATACCATAAAGAAAATTAAATTAATGAGCCACAGACTGGAAAATACAGTAACAATCATATATCTAATAAAGGATTCATACTCAGAACTTATAAAGAATTTAACAACTTGATAAATTTTGCCCTACTAAGAGAATGGACAGAGGGAGAAAAAAATGGTGTAGATGATAGAGGCTCTGTTTATCCCTCTGGAGACTAAGTCAAAGTTGTGATGGAAATAAGGAGCAAACAGCAAGGAAAAATTGCCTGGGATCTAGATGAACAAGCCATAGAACTAGGGAGAAATCCAAGAAATCACCCTGCAATGCAGAAGGTAGGACAGGGTGAGGATACCGGGCTGCCTGGTTTCGAGTGGCTGAGTGAGACAGAGGCTGTGGCAGTGGCAGTGGCAGTGGCAGATGCCTATTATAGGGGCCACATCTGCGAAAGGATTTTCGCGGTGATGAAGCTGCTCACTCTGAGCACCAGTGCTGATTCAGCTGTGCTCAGGGGGCACCAGGGACTTACAGGGAGACAGTGTCGGGATGAGGACTGAGGTGAGACTTACTCTGTATAGAAGTGCTGGTGGTATCCACTGTTCCTTGTTGAGCCCTCCCTGCTCCCAGTGGGAAGACACAATGCCACCATAGCCGAGAAGTCACCAAACTGGATAACAGAGGCCGTTCTGCCTAGAGGATTCCCTGAAACCCCGTCTCCCCAACTCGTGGCGCCACCCTAGCCACATTTAGATGTATCCTCAGTGAGTCAGGTACTCCTTGCTGAGCAATGCCTAGACTCAGACTGGAGGCAACTGGCCTTGGTTTCTGGTGTGGCCTTTTGGAGCAACTATAAGCACAGCATCTGTGGATTGCTTGCTGAATCTTAACAGGTGGCCCCAGAAGAACAGAGGCTGGAGCTAAATTTGGCCTGCAGCTGAACCCCTTTCAGGACTGTGCCACTGGACACCTACTTCACAAATCCACACTAATAAGACCTGGAGACTTAGGAGCTTTCCTTAGTTCATAGAAACAGACATGGAAAGGCAGCCAAAATGGAAAGACAAAGAAGCAGAAACCATATGAGGGAACAGAGCAGAGATCCAGATGCAGAGTTCAAAACATTGATTATAAAGACACTCAATGAACTTTTGAGAAGTGTAGATAATTCAGTAAGAACCGCAACAAAGAGATAAAAACAAAATGGAAATGGAAATTTTAAAAGGGAACCAATCTGAAATGAAGAACACATTATCTGAGATGAGAAGTATATTAAATGGAATAAACAAAGGAATAAACAAAGTGAATAAAGAAAAGGATCAAATGTCCTATGTAGAGGATGGGAAAGTCAAGGACATGCAATCAAAATGGCAAGAAATATGATGCCAAGACTATAAAAATAATTTAAGGAGCATATAGGACACTTTAAAGGTCAAAATATCCATCTGATTGGCATACCTGAAGGAAAACAAGATATTGAACAGCTATTTGAAGAAATAATGATGGAAAACTTCCCTAACCTGGTGAAGGAAATAGACATACAACTCCAGGAAGCTCAGAGTCCCAAAAACCAGGGATCTAAAGAGGCCCACACCAAGACACATCATAATTAAAATGCCAAAGTTTAAATACAAAGAGAGAATCTTAAAAGTAGCAAGAGAAAAGCAAATAGTTATCTACAAGAGAACACCCCTAAGACTGGTAGCTAATTTCTCAAAAGAAACTATGCAGGACAGAAGAGATTGGCACAAAATATTTGATGTGATAAAGACCCAAGATATACAACCAAGAATACTTTATCTAGCAAAGCTATCATTTAGAGTCAAGGGACAGATAAAGAGCTTTCCAGACAAAAACAAGCTAAAGGAATTTATCACTACAAAGCCAGTATTATAGGAAATATTGGAGGGATTTCTTTAAGAAGAAAAAACATGTATCAAAAACAGGAATAAAGAATGGTAACAACTACATTCCTATCAATAAGTACCTCAAATGGAAAAGAATTAAGTGCTCCATGCAAAAGATAGAGAGGCTGAATGGTTAAGAAAATAAGACCCCTACATGCTGCCTACAAGAAACTCACTTCAAATTAAAATACACACACAGACTAAAAGGAAGGGGATGGAAAAAGATATTGCTTTGATGGATCTCGAAGGTATTTAAGTCAGACAGAGAAAAATAAACATTATATGATTTCACTTATGCATAATCTAAGAAATAAAAAAAACCAAACTAATCAAAAACAGACTCACAAATATAGTGGACAGTTTGGTGATAGACAGGAGGGAGGGGGTGTTGGGGGCTGGGAGAAGGGTGAAGGGTTAAAGAAGTACAAATTAGTAGCTAATTGTCATGGGATGGGGTGCACAGCATAAGGAATGTAGTTAGCATTAATATGTTGGTTAGGTGAAGGATCAGGGGAGGGAGGGAGCAATCGGGGGGATCGTTTTATGAACTATATAGATGTCTAACCAATGTACTGTATAGTTGAAACTAATTAAAATAAATCAATCAGAAAAGAGAGAATGGGCAACATTTTTGAGTAGATATTTCACCAAGAAGATATATGAATGACTAATATGCACATGAAAAGATTCTCTACATGACTAATCATTAGAGAAATAAATTAAAATCATAAAGATACCACTTTGTACACACTAGAATGGCTATAACGAAAAAGAAAGAAAATAACAAAAGGTTGTAGAAAAAACTGAAACATTGCTGGTGGGAATGTAAAACGCCATAGCTGCTTTGGAAAACAGTTTGTTGTTTTGTTTTACTTTTATTTTACTTTTTTTGTTTCTTTGTTTGTTTTGTTTGTTTGTGTACTGGTCTTTTTTGCTATTTAGAGACCATAATCTGGGTTCTGTTTGTGCTCACTGCTACTGAATAAATATATATTGCATTTTAAAAAATATCTTTTGCCCCATTCACGCATTTCTTCCACCCTCCATCCCTGGCTCTCTTTAGCAACCATCAATCTCTTCTCTGTATCTACAAGCTTGATTTGTTTTTGTTTTTTTTTTTAATTTTATTTTGTTTTAGGTTCCACATATGAGAGATCCTACAGTATTTGCCTTTCTCTGACTGATGTTATTTTATTTAGCATCATGCCATCAAGGTCCATCCATGTTGTCACAATGGCAAGATTTAATTCTTTTTTAATGATGAATAATATTCCATTATATATGTGATATCTATATCATATCTTCTTTGTCTATTCATCCATTGATGGACACTTAGGTTGTTTCCATATTCCATATCTTGGCTATCATAAATAGTGCTGCAAAGAACATGGGAGTGTATATATCTTTTCAAGTTAGTGTTTTTGTTTTCTTCAAATAAATACCCAGAAGTGGAATTGCCAGGTCATATAGTTATTCTATTTTTAATTGTTTGAGGAATCTCCATATTGCTTCCATAGTAGCTGCATCAATTTCCATTCCTTCTGACAATGAACAAAGATTCCATCTTTGCCAACACTTGTTATATCTTGTCTTTTTGAACATA